TCAGAAAAAGATGTTGAAATGGCGGAAAGGTTGGACACAGACGAGAGCGTATCGGGAGATGGAGACCAACATCCTTGGCCCTATATCAAAGAATTTTTTTGCAATAGTCGAAAAATGTAGCTTTCATTCATATAGTGGCATCTGGCTGTTTTTTTTAAAGGTTGCTTTATACTTTTAAACTTCAAGTAGTTTTTTACTTTTACTTGAGTAAAGAGGTCAAGTTGATACTTCAACTTTTACCAGAGTGTTTTTAAACTGCAGTATCTATACTTTTTGTTAAGTAACAAATGTGTTTACTTTTGACACCACTGCTTTAATGTCCTAACTGATTTGAGGTATTCAGATTGAGCCATTGGCCGTTTCTCAGTTCACAAGAATTCGAGTACGGACTTGTGTGCTCGCCAAGTATGTTCTTGAGAAGAACACACGAAAGTGTGGAGTTGGGGAGAACGGGAGCATGCAGCATAAATATAGCTTTATTGGAACAAAAGCGTACTGATGACATCAACACACTCTCGGCTCGTTTTTTTTTAATTGGGGGAATAATAGTAAACATTTTCAGATAAACACAAATTAACAGGGCTACTGACGACAATGGGTAACTACCGTATTTTCACGGCCATAAGGCGCAGTCTCAGTTATGTGTGCCATTACTGTATTTAACACACACATAAGGCGCACCGGACTATAGGGCGCGGGTTTTATTATTTTGTTTATTCGAAATACCTCTACTGCGTATTTAAAAATAGAGCGGGAGCAAAACTGAGGATGTTTGTGCTTTATTCATGTATTTTTTGGTATTAATCAAACCCATCAAAGTCATCATCCTCTGTTTCTGAATTAAACAGCTGCGCTAAATCAGACATGCCAGTTTCCCCTTCTTCGCTGTCAGAGTCACTTTCTGTGCCGTGCGGCTCCTCGGAAATGATGCCGGCTTTTGCGAAAGCTCGAACAACAGAGCCAGCAGACACGTTAGTCCAAGCATCTACAATCCATCCGCAAACTGAGGCGTAACTTGCCCGGCGCTGCCTTCCACTTTTCGTGAAACTGTGATCTCCGTTGGTCATCCATCGCTTCCGCCGCTTGCAGCCTTACTTTGAACGGCCGGTTCACACCGATGTCGAGCGATTCCTTTGTTCCTTTGTCAGACCTCTCTGAATAACAGCGAGCACAGCGTTCATTTGTTTCACCATGTTTTTAACATCGGCTGTGAGATGGGCACGCATGGAGTCACAGATTAACAGCGATGGTGATGAGTGGAAAAAAAACACCTGGTCTCCTCACATACAGTTTCATACAGAAATGGCAGTTTCTGTCCATTTGCGTGGCAGCCAAGCACAACAGTAAACGACGCCTTTTCATACCCCGTTGTGTGTATCGCTACAGTGCTGGTCCCCTTCTTCTCCACCGTGTGATTCACCGGGATGTCGAAAGTGAGCGGCACCTCGTCCATGTTGGTGATGTGGCTTGGCTGGATGCGTTTGTCAGCGATGTGTTTGCTGCAGTAGGAGTGGAAGCTCGCCAGCTTTTCATTATAATCCGCCGGACGTCGCTGAGCTACTGTAGTCCTGGTCCGGATGGAAAAATTGCACTCATAGGCGTGTCTCTTTGCCATTTTCAGGGTTGTTACTACAACAATGTTCTGCATAAAGCACATACCTGTTCTTTTATACACAATCCACGCCCACACTTCCCCCTTTAACGTTCTCATGGCGGTCTCAACAACGTCCGCAGTAACACATAGGGTGCACCGCACTATAGGGCGCGCCGCACATTTTGAGGAAAAAAAAGACGTTTATATGCGCCTTATAGTTGTGAAAATACGGTAGCTGTGACAGATTCACCGGTAGATGAAGAAAATTAGTGACATACTTTACATTATTGCACAGCTGTAACACTATGAAGATCTTGAGCTTAAAGAAGGAAAGGGGCTTAAACAGGGCGTACATTAGTATGATTGAACACTGCTTAGACTTCCCTTCTGGCTCTAATTGGTTGCTTCTGACCCAGAGCTGTGTTTTTCTGTAATAGTCATTACAAACACTGGGAGCAGGATGACTTATGTTTTGTGGATGTTATATTAAGGTTATATGTCAACCATACATTAACCCCAAAGGTTAATTCAACATGCAAAAAGGAGTAAGCACAGATAGCATTTTTATAAGTTACACTTAAAACCTCTAGTGTCAAATCTTTCGAAGAACACTAAGAAATGTCCAGTCTTTTAATAAAGATGAGGAAGTCATTTTACTTTGAGGAGCAATGAACAGTTTTGAAATCACATTGCCTTACAGCAAGCAAATATCAAATTACAGTTTATCTTGTCTAATACAATTATTTTCTAATCTGTTCAGTTTGAGAGGCATTAAGTCGGTCAATAGGAGACTAAAGCGTACTTGTACTCGTAATTATGGATAGCTGACAGACTATGGCTAAAAAGCCTCCTTTCACAAGCTAATATTGCTACAGTAATGCTGAGTTTAGCTGTTAGAGCTAAAGCCCATAGCGAACATACCCACATACTTTTTCACCTCATTGTCTGCAAGTACTTAGAGCACAGGTTTAGTCAAGCTGCAGTTAGAACCTGGGGTTAACATTTTCTGAGTCAGGAGAATTATAAGAAACACCTCCCTTAAATTAGAAACCTGTTTGCAAATTTTTAGAAATGTTTTTAAGGACATTTAGATCCAACATGGCAGCTCTTTGCAATGACAACAGTAACATGTTTATTTTATTTACAAGATCCTGTCATTCATCTAAAATCCATGCTATACAAAGCGGCTATTATCTAAACTGAACATAGTAATAGTGGTGTTTGCATTTGGAAAGCACAGCTTAAAACTTTGTTTTTTAAATATACTACAAAGCTTCTCTACTCGTCACCATATTGGATTCTTGATCTTTGATAACTGGAAAGCTGTAAAATCGTTTCTTATGCCATTTCTTCATAGGTAACTATAATTCAATATTAAATCCAAGTTTGAGGGACTTGTTTTGGATTTAGTCTAGTCTATTTCAAGTCTTGCAGCCATGAACCAAAGACCTTAGACAAATTATTGACTCATGTTCTTAAGAATTAAATAAAATTTTTAAAGCATGATTATGAAACACGTCATGTCTTGAGAACGTCAATCTGTAGCAAGTTTCAGGATGATACTTGAGGTCGTTTCAAACCTTTAAAAGTTTTTAGGCCCATGGAGAAATGGAATAGCATAACCTGGCTGTCCTTGTATACACCCACACATACACACACACACAGGTGACTAAAAGTGTGTCATAACTGTGTCAGACTTGACCTGACAGATTGGTGACAGGCTGTCCTCCCAGGATGCACCTGGGTGCTGCCTACATGTCTGCCATAAATTGATTCATAATTAAAGCAGGCAAACACCGCTGACCTGCTGGCTTCTCATCATGTGTGTATTTACGTGTGCATTCGAGCAAACTGGCAGGGATGGGACTATTTCCCCTCTCCTACACCTTCCTCTCTTATTTCATCCTGCTCCTATTTTTTGAGATCGATTTATTAACCATCAGTGGTCTGGGGCTACAATTTGTTCTATTTGTAACTTTTCAAAAGACAATGCCAAATTTGGCCCTGAATGGGACCACAGTACAGCAAAGCTTAGAGGAACATAAGCTGAAATTTTCATAG